CCCCAAAACCCCAAAACCCCAAAACCCCAAAACCCCTAGAAACCCCAGCTTGGCTGAACCCTGACAGAAATAATTTAATATTCAGACTCATTTAATGAAGATGAGTCTTCATTATTACATTTAGGGTAGATATCAAAGTCACCTTCAAACACCACTTGGCCAAACCCGTACCTGTTGATGGTAGTCATAAAATCTTCTTCAGCAAGGTTAGACCTACGCACCACAAATGTACGCAAGCTACTGATGAATTCGGGAGTAGAGAGTCAACATATTAGGTACGCAAATTGTTCAGGGTAGTCTCCCCAACCTTTATCAGTGATTGATTCTCAGCGATAAAGTTCTAGTTTTCGGATCTTACAACTTGTGAAACATCTTGTAAAGTCTTAAGGGCTTAAGAGATATATCCTACAGTAGCTGAACTGTACATTTGGGATGCTCCTTACAGCTGAAAATATCCTTTTCAGCTGCTTTTCATTGAAATCTAGAAGTGATAGAATCACCTGCTGTGTTATCCTAGGAGCACATTTACTCAACAAAGGAGCAATTTCTGTGGGCTACACAGATACCTTCAATCTCAGGCTATTCAGAGTGTACTTGGCTTAGAATTTGACGCTTTCTTCAAGACTCTCGCTACATCTTTTATGCTTTTACGAGGTGCATCTAAATAAATGCCTCCTCAGAGCCCTATCAGATTTAGCCGGGAGACTATTTTCATCAGATTTAAGCGATCATATGCTTGAATTATTGCTAGGCTGAGTTCATCACGAGGAACCTTGACATGGTCCAGAATGGTTTCTCGTAGAAGTTCCTTTTGCCATGAAAGTCTTTCATCCTCAATCTTAGATTGATTCTCCTGCATTGATGTTGGGAATTCAATTATATTAATACTTTTACCAAACAGAGGTTGGAGAAGCCTATGTTTGGTCAAATGCATCATTATGATTCTATATTATTCTATTAAATGAGGAAAGATAAATAAAGACTTTAAACTTAGAGGATCTGTAATTTATATACTCAAGGCCAAGGTTTGTAAATGCATATAACATGGCCTAGCTTTGAATACAACAATGAAGAATTTTCCTGTTGGCTATATCATTGCTAAACAGGGATGACTTATTGAATAGTTATCCCATTAAACTCATCTACGCTAGTGAATACTTTAAATTAATATCTATGAGCCAATTATATTGGCCTAATAAAGAACATCAGTATGAGAAGCTTGATAAAGCTTTTGTCTTTGTTTTTCGTTTAAAATCTCATTTAAGGATATCACAAAGGAAGTTATAATGAGACCTTTTTTAAGAAAGCTCAAACATTATTAAGATTGATTCGATCTGAGGCATATCCTTTATTGCCTATAATAAAATATACAAAATAGGAAAATATTCTTATAGATCAAAGTTGTCTTGAAACTCTTCATATTTCAAAGACGTCTAGTTCTGGTAAAGCCGGTTTCCCATGCAAATTAAAGCCTATACAAAGCAATGACGCATCATGCTTGCCTTGTTCTTCCAATTTGATGGTCAAAAGAACTATTTTATCATTATATCGTTGACTCAACCTGCTAAGTTTCATTATATTCTGGGCATTAACTTATTCGATAATTTATTATACCTATAACCATGCAATTGTACAAAGCAAGTATCTTAGTGCCGTGAGGGCACTAGGAGGAGCTCCAAATCGCCTTGTAAAAATGCATAATAATATCCAGCCATTTCATATGGTAATCATTTTTATATTATGTGTTAAACAAAGTTAAGGTAGATTTAGGATAGAGTCGATATGAACAAGGAAGCTCTATTGAAATTTAAGCACCAATTAATATTCAGAGTCATCAGATATGGGTAAGCCTTCGTCGGAATCTGAGAGAGAATAATAGAAGTCACCTTCAAAATTTGTGGAATCGAACTTGTATTTTAGGAGGACTCTCAGAGGATATGCTTTGTCAAATTCTGAGCCTTTAACCACAAGAGTTTGTAAACTATTTTGAAGGTCTTCAGTCGACAGACCACATATGAGATACTCAAACTGCTCTGGGAAATATCACCATCTTTTATCAGAGGCTGGTCCTCATCATATAAAGCTGAGTTTTTGAATCTTTGTCCTTGTGAAGCATCTTGTAAAGTCAGAAGAACTTGTGAACACCATTGTTCAGCTGTCAAATTCAATGGAAGGAGTTCTTCTTGCAGCTGAGAAAATTCTTTTGAGCTGTTTTTCATTGATATTAAACATTGAAAATGTTATTCTCTTAGTAACCATAGATGAGAATCTGCTGAGAAGAGGTAGAAATTTGTTTTGGACGTTAACAGTCTTCAGGTTTCCTATTATATTGCCTACCTCCACTTGTGAAATAAAAGGCTTGGTAAATAACTTGCAAAAATCCTTCATGCTTTCTGACGGAACATTCAAAGTGATGGCTCCCAATGATTTTGGCAGGCCTAGATCAATCATTTTCTTTATAAACTTAGAATTGGGGTAATTAGAGTAAATGGGCAGCCTGATGTCTTCATAGAATATCTGATGAAACTCTTGATGAGTTGCTTTGAGCAGTGATAATTGCCATTGCATTTGCTCTTCTCAAAGAACTTCAACTTTCTTCTCCATATCTTTTAATTATTCAATTATATTAATGCATTGGGGTTTTGGGGTTTTGGGGTTTTGGGGTTTTGGGG